TTGTATTACCCTTAACAATCTATAAACTTTCTTGTATAAATCACGTTACAAAGAAAAATAATTCAAATATTCTACTGTGCCAAATTTCAGAAAACAAGTGGTGTAATCTTTTCTTGATTTTAACTGAGGAAAGGCAGTAGAAACAAATAGAAAACAACTTGAACTTTTTAACACAGGGGATTAATAGTAATGGAAGAAGTGAAGAAATGATAAACAATGAGCTACATGTCAATTAATTAAGCATTCAGTAATATGAATATAGCTTGTGAAATGACTTTTGTGTTTCTGGTGGAAGAAATTGCATCATGTAAAAAAATTAATTGTTTAAAATTCATTTTCGTAACTCTACAAAATGCTACAAGAAATGAAGTTAACATTTAGTTCAGCCAAGGGAATAATGACCTGAGGCAGTTCATAGCTCTGATACTGAGGATTTCAATGATATGACTTCCTAATTTGTATTACACTCTTTGTTAATGATGTTCTTCAAAATTTTTTCACATTTTAATTTAAACATAAAAATTTAAACATTTTTAATTCAGTGCTGTAATAAAAAATAAAATAACTTTCTAAGAGTGTTAAAACTTTCATAATTTGGCATCCTCTCAACTCTATGGAGGGGTATGTTTGTTGCACAATTTCTTTCAAGGTAAACATGATAAAATAGTAATGCCTAATACAACATACTCCTTTTTGTTTAATTGTGGAGATTTACAATAAAGAAAAATGTGTATTTATAAAATACCTAAATGTCTTTAGAGGAAAGATCAACACTTGCCTTAATGTGGAACTTCATGAAAAAAGTATTTTTATATCTTATGTATTAAAACATGGGAAGAGCTGGGTGATGGACAGAAAAAAAGGTTCCTCAATATGTAGATAAATATATCAAAAATTATTTGAACTACTTAAAACTTGTCACTCATTAGTGAAATATAAAGAAAAGTCAATAAGTGAGTCTTTAAATGCTGATAGGTACTTAAAATAACAACAAAAAACATTTACCTTTTATTATATAAACGTTTACCTTCTATTGTAGAAAAATCATTGTCTTGTTATCAATGCCTTTACATTATGATTGTAATAGATCAATATGTAAAATTATCAGCTATAAAATGATTTATCAAGGAACTTTTGTGAACTATTTAATAAAAAATGAGTATACTCTGTTGAAATTCTGTGCAACTTGATTAAGTTTCACCACGTTTTGTTAAGCTTTAAAATATTCAGCATTGTTGTATTGCTGTGACACATACCCTTGATTTTAATAGGACTGCACATTTCCTTCCAGTCTAGAAACGATGTATTTTGTTATAAGCTAAATTGCGAGAATGCTTGTATGTAGTTGCTGTTTATGGTCACTCTTCTTACATCGTCAGCCACTTTCTCTATCGTGTTTGAATTTTTAGCAATCATAAGAAGATAACTTGCTCAGGCATGGTCAACCATTGTTGAATATCCTTTAAAAATGATTGAACTCAGAGGGCAAAATTTAGTGCATTGAATGTTTCTCATCTAAAATTGGTGACATTTCCAAAGAGTGTGTTTTACATAGTCATACAGTCATACTTTTTCTCATCAGAACTGCACAAAAGCATGCTTCCTTTCAAATAAATCACTCTTTGGTACCTTCCTAGATTTGAAACTGAAGTGTACATGCACATGTCGCATGGGTGAGACTGCCAGAGAGAATATCATAAAACTAGAATGTTGTGCCACTTTTACATATTTTGAAAATGTTTACTGCTACTCATATTGTTGCGACTTACATATGGACTTCCATCTTAACTAGTTTTTGACTTTGAAATTCATTATTAACAATATCTTTATACATAAAAGTTGGACCTTGAAATCATATTCTCTTGCATATTTCATTACTGCATGGAATCGGATTGTCATATTTCTATAACCTTCCAATAGCATTATCTCTTACAAATTCTTCTTGTTGTTTTTATCTACAATAATTAAATTGAATATGATATATCATAAAATATTACAATGTATGACACTGATATCATTTCTGTATGGCTGATATCATTTCTGTGTGGTTAAATTTTTGGATGAAGCATGAAGTTCCATCTGAAAAAAATTCATCAAAAGGATTCATTTTAGATCAGTCTAGTTTTCATACATTTATGTATGGATGGATGTATAAGGAATATATTCATCTTCAATGATTAACATGATATTTTGAGAAGTGTTTGGTATTAAAAAATTTGATTTAAAATGTAATGTGAATTAAAACATAGAAATAATTTGAATGTAGATTTTGAAAATGATATTTATTATCTGAAGAATGAATACCTTTGCTGTGGTTTCAAAACTCATTGAGAACTCTCAAATAGCCTAATTTTGAATGCTGTTCAGATTAAAATATACATATATTTTCTTAGTGTTCCTAAAAAGTTGCTGTTGAATCTAAAAGTGTTGACCTTTCGTCTCGAGGATTTTTCCACAAATTCACCAATGTGTAACCATTATAATTTTTTAAATTCTACAATTTGTCTTGAAATACATTTTGAAATGTAGCTTTTTAGTTATTTTCCTTAGATAATTTAATGAAGAAATAAACTTTTAAATAATAGTAATAATAACGATGATAATGATGAAATTAATAATAATAATAATAATAATAATAATAATAATAATAATAATAATAATAATAATAATAAATTTTTAATAATTTTTTAATAATTTTCTAATGATGTGAAGTAAGTAATAAATATTAATCCTTTATGAATCCTTTATTAGTTATCTTTGCAATAAAATATTAAACATACAATTAATGTGTGCTCCTTCCCCCTTCCCCATTTGTTTAAAGCAAGAGAGAGACTAGAAAAATTGTGTAGGAAAATATTTGCTTTATGGTTTTTGTATAATCTATGTTAAAACAATACACAATCAGTGTTCTTTTCAATGTCATTAAATAATAAATTTCATAAGGGGGCAGTTGGAGGAATTTTAAACTATGCAGTTTAAGAAAATAAAGGTGAGGTCTGGTGTTGATGCAAGGCACATTCCAGCCAAATTTGTTCTGTTATTAGTAATTTTTTGGTTGGTGTGGCAATCTTTTGTATTTTTTACATTTGTTTTTGAAGTTGATATTCTGGAGCTCTTTCAGCAAACATTTAATAAAATTTAATATAAAACTGTTATATCTTTTTAGAGTGCAAATCATAGTCAGAAAATACACTTTTACTGGAAGGTAAAAATTAATTGCTTTTCAAACCTTCCAAGAGTAGTGTTAAAGTGTGATTTTGTCTCTTCACTTCGGAATATGTTGTACATTTCTTTTTTGGTTTTCTCTTCCCTAGTCCGCCAATTTGTCTGTGGAGCCGGAGACAGTATCCCCTGTACGTGAGTGCATCTGTTTGTTTCTACTCCTCTAGACTAGTGGTCTTCAGCGAGCTTGAGCAGGCACTGCACACTGCAGTATGCAGAATGCATGCAAAATGCATTTAGAATCGATTTTGCAAAATTGGGGCAAAGCCATTGCATAATTGGCAACTTTTATATGCAATGACAGCAGTCTTGAAAAGTTAAAATCAGTGGAGACCACTGCTCTAAAATAACCCAAGTAAATTTAAGCTGTTTTCTAAACCACTTACAGCTTCAAGTGAAAATAACAGATTTAGTGCACGCATCTCCGTTACTACAATGGTTTGGCTACTTTCTGTTTTGTATCCCATATTCTCTTTTCTATGTTTCAATATCTGATTTGTGAGTAGCTCTAAATTGAAATCTTCACCACTGAATTTGGTAACTGGCTTTGGCCACACCCTTGCCCCACCCTGCCTCGCCCCACCCTGTCTCAGGGATGAGCCCTTCATGCCCTGCAGGGTGGGGGGAGCAGGGAGGAGCTGACCTGCACTGGCTGCTGTGTGTTGTGCGACAATACTATCATTCAAAAGCATAGGGGGAGGGAAAATGCTTTTTTAAATACCTTACTTTGTATTAGTGTTTATTTTCATAATTTAAATAACTTTCTGTTGTAAATATTTTGTATAATTTTGCTTTAATTTGTTTTGTTTGTATTTTTTATATCCCTGTTCTCTTATTTGTTCTTCTGACCATCTCTATAACTTTCCATTAAAATACATTGTCCTCCTACATTAGCATTTCCTTTATCTTTTGCTTGCATTTCCCTTATCAATTGCTAACTTTCCTTTCCTCTTTCATTAGCTTTAAAACAGCTTGAATTTTTATGTGTCTTCTGCCTAACGTCCTCCTCTTTTTCTGGCACTTAAATAGTGATTTATTAATTTTTTACTAAAAGTTTTATCTCAGTGAGTTAAAATGAAATAACTTTCCCAAAATAGTCTCGCCTAGCATCACTTGTCATCCAGTCCCATTGTGGCTTCATGCTGACACCAGGCCTCGCCTGTTGCCTCCGCCACATTGTTGCTTCGGACACAGGCTCAACCAATATGATCACAACCATCATGACTTTGTTTACTAAACATTAATTTGGTTCAGTTTTTATTTCTTTTAATGCATTATCAGTGTAGCAGTGTGTATGTGTGTGTTCACATAATCTAATATAGATATATATAGTGTGTTCTTATTTACATTACTTTGCAATAATTCTTCTTAACTCTGGTAATGTGATGTCCTCTGGTCTGCAAATACACATAGCTAATGTGATGCAAGAGCACAACCAGTACTATATTTATCTGCACCCAAACATTTCTTGGCTTTTATGCCTTTGATTTACAGTTTAAGATTATGGTATTTATGTAAATAGGGGCAATGGCTAGATTTTGGAAAGTCTTCCCAGAGCACTAGCTGTGTGTATGTTTGTTCCATGTCCTCGCATGGCTTGTGCATGGTGGCCCTGCCTGGTGTTCATGCTGTCAATGTGGACTTGCAGCTAGAGCCTGAAGCATTAACACCAGGGGATGGTGGAGGCGGAGAGTGGGATGGGACATGCCAGTTGACATTACGACCTTTAGGAGGTGCGCAGGGCGTGGCATGACTGAGTGTTGTTCTTTGCCTTGCAGGTCTGTCCAAAGGGGTTGGCTTCATCCGGTTTGACCAGCGTATTGAGGCGGAACGTGCTATCCAGGAGCTGAATGGAACCATTCCAAAAGGTTCAACTGAGCCGATTACTGTCAAGTTCGCCAATAACCCGAGTAACAACAACAAAGCGATTCCTCCACTGGCGGCCTACCTGGCCCCGCAGGCTCGCCGGTTCGGCGGACCTATCCACCACCCCACGGGTCGCTTCAGGTACATTCCACTGTCACCACTATCCAGGTACTTGACTTTCCCAGTTGCAGTTTCTTGACCACTAGCTTCTCTCCTTTGAGTTCATTTTTTATCTTTGGTTCGTTTTTGTTTTTTTCCTTGATGTTTTTTTAAGTTTTTTATTATTTCACATTTTTATTTAGTTTCCTGTAACATTAATTTTGTAGTTCATGTGACTTGTGTGCTTCAACTCTTTGAAATGTCCCGTTTGCGTGGAAAGGTATGACCGGCTGGAGGGTGCAAGCTGTGTACTAGAGTAGTGTCTAGCATCCCCACCCTCTTAGGAGAACTGTTCAAAAGGTTGTGGTAACACATAGTCAAATGATGGGACGAGCGAGGCAAATTTTGGATGGTTATTGTTTGCCATCAACTAGCTTTTTACAAGAAATGCTATGATGCCAATGTCTTGATACTGCTTTTTGGCAACGACCTCTTAGCATAGGCCTAGTTTCTTTCTCTCCTTCTTTCCAAATATCACGTGATTGTATTTGCTACATTGGCCTGCCTTTCCACCAAGCAGCCCGTACGGACTGCCGCTGTGGCCAGACGCCAGAGATTGGTAAGTAAGAGAGACACTTACGCGATGCTCCAAGTCCGCTTCCCATGCTCTTGTCCGCTTCCAGTGCCTCCCAGAGCCTCATCCTCATTCCGGTCAGCCAGTCCCTCTGCCATTCAGCCCTAGCCCCACCGCTCTTTTGATAGGCTCCTTTCTTACTGCATGAGACAGGTCCCCTGGGCCCCACACGTTTTCAGTTGTAGTCTGGTACAGTGCAGACGAGGCAAGGTGGGGGAACTTACCTATTACTTCCCAATGAAGTGTTTTAATAAAAAGGTAAAGAAATGAAGGACCTGTTACCATTGACCTGGAACTGAAGATAATTTGCTCTTTGACTGTTTAGTTCTTGTCACCTGGACTTCCATCTGCTTGAACCCTGCATGATTTTTGTGCTTATTCTCATTATAGGCATTACAAAATCCTTCCACTAGATATTTGATCCAATCCTTCTTTTTTATTTTACACCCTCTTTATGATTTTGTTAAGAACTGGGGAATTAAGACTGTGGTGTACAGTTTATATTTAAGACTATTCATTACAATAGGCCAATTTGTCAAACTTCAAAATATTTAATTATATATTTCCTTTCTATTTTTCACTCAGTCATGCACGCTTGCCTGTACACAAAATGCACAATTATACATTAACACTTTAGGTTATGTGCAAATTTGTTCAAGGGAGAATTTTTTTACATTAGTATGGACAATAACATGCAAATACATTTCATTCATTTACAAATTGCACTTTGTTCAGGATGATCGGAACATTTTGAGTATTACTTTCGCACAAGTTTGCCAAAGAGAGGCTATTAATGACTGAGCATTTTTGTTCTTTTCATTATAAACCATACTAGAAGTTGTTATTTAATATGTAATCGAGATGGTTGAAGTCAGGTGGGATATGCATCACTCTCAATCCAAATCTACTTCAGTGAAAACAAGATTAAGTATATTTAAAGAAGACCTATTTCGGATAGTATATTTCATAGATTCCACTATAGATACATTTTATTGAACGATGTCAAATATACATTGCCAAGAGCACACAAACATAATACATTTCAACTTGCATGCAGACATTTTTGACATACACCAATCACTGCACATCAAGAGAAGTACATAAACACAGCTTCATTTTCAAAACCAAGATGAGTCCAACACACTGCTGTGTGGAAAATGTAGGACTAAAGGAAAAGTGTTCTTAAGAAGGAAAAAGAAAAAGAAAATGAAACGTAATAATGCCTGTGTCACTTGATAGTACGGCTGCCATCTCTTGCATTTTGTATTTTTCAGAATGTAGGCAATTTGAAATTTTCTTGCATTGATAGTTTGATCTACTTCAAATAGTTCCCATTGTCCAATAGTTCTGTTTCTAGCTTTTCTTGTTCTGGAATCAAATCTAAGGAATTTCCTGTTTAATTTAGACTTACCTCTCAGCTTCACAGTTAATCAACTTGCTGTTTAATTTTCTTATGTTTGTTTCTGTATTTTGTTTTAGCACTGGCAAGACCATGCTAGCCATAAACAAAGGCTTACAGAGGTCAGTATTCTCGAGTTTTTTACCAATAATTACAGTACTTTTTTGGTTTGATGTTTGTTTAGCAGTTTCTGTGTGACTGAAGCATGCCTGTCCACATTTGGTTCTGTATGTTGAGTTTGTTTTCCTTGTAGCATCAGCACACTGTTGGCAGGGACCTGCCGATGCATTGTTATTCCAAGTGTTGGATAGTTCACTACTCAAATACATGATTTAATACTTTACATCTCATTGTGTTTTGTGTGTCTTATATTTTTCTCCAAATGGTGCAAGCACCCTAATACTGAGCGGCTTGGGACGAGGGCTGTGTGAGCGAGGCGTGTGGCATGCTCCCACCCTGTTTCCTCCGCCCCCTCCAGTTGTTTGTTGCAGTCCCCTTCACGCTGCTGGTTTGACGTTATAGGTACTCGCCTCTAGCTGGAGACCTGCTGGCTAATTCAATGCTACCCGGCAATGCCATGAATGGTTCTGGGTGGTGCATCTTCGTGTACAACCTGGCTCCAGAAACAGAAGAGAATGTCTTGTGGCAACTGTTTGGGCCATTTGGTGCTGTGCAGAGTGTAAAAGTCATTCGCGATCTGCAGACCAACAAGTGCAAAGGATTTGGATTTGTTACGATGACCAACTACGACGAGGCTGTTGTGGCCATCCAGTCACTGAATGGCTACACCCTGGGCAATCGGGTTCTACAGGTCTCTTTTAAAACCAACAAGAGCAAAGCCACATAAATAGTTGATGAAGAAACTGTGCTAAAGACCGCCACCCTATGGGCAGATGCGGTGCATTTGTCTCTGTGACCATACTAGTCAGAGTCAAGTAGAGGTATGGAGGTTGCAGTTGCCTGCTTCGTGCTTAATTTGAACTGGTAGCATTCCAGGTGATACAGCAGGTTGGATGAATACAGTCAAGTTCCAATATGCATCTAAAGGTGTCATGATGTAAAGTTATAAATCCAACTTAACTGTTATTCCCTTGAAGCTCTTCCAGGCAAATGCAGCCTTCAAAAATTTCTCTCTCCGGGTGTATTAAGGTACTCGTACCTCCTAATATACTTGAATGTTACTATGAATTATACTGACAAACATTTGAGCTAGTCATCACTAGTGCAAGTCCTGTGCTTTCCTGATACAACACTCTGTTTGGGGCACTTGACGCTGGACCCCTGTGGAGAACCTCAAACTCTTAGATTTCTTTTGTTTGTTTGATTTTTATCTCTTTAATTTCTTCTTCATTTGATAGCTAGTCTCTGGCTGTTGCTGTAGCAGTCAGCAATGGACAAGGGTCAGTCCTATCTATGTATGCCAAAGAAAATAATTGTCAGTCTGCAATCGTATAAGAGCAGACAATGTCCATGCTATTCAACATTTGTAGATGTGTACAAATAAATAGCGTTTATTGTTTATTATATGTACATTGCTTTGCTACAGCAATCAAGCCTTATATTCATATATATTTATATATATATATATATATTTAGATGCATCAACTTTAATTTTGAGTGGCTCATAATTTCATTAACTGACATATTTAATATAGATATTTTAAGTATAGAGATTATTTTTTTCTTTGTGTAGTTTCCCATTTAATCTGCTGACAGACAAGATGTGATTAACATTTAAAATCTTTGTTTTAATGCCACAGAAGTTGGCATTGGTATATGGGTTATACCTATCTTAAATGTGTTTTTGGTTATTTAAATTTCAAGTGCATGTAAATTATTTTTGAAGCATATGAACTACCTCTTGAGTTTAGCATCAATACTTTCTTGGAGGTAGTGGAATTAGTTCATATGTATTAAACTTGTTTTTTGTGTTAATACTTTTATTTGATTTCACTTTCGTTGTTTAAACCCACAATTCTACACCACAACCCGAACCAAAATCTAATTGTGCTCCTCCTAAGGATATCAGTTTTAGTACCTCAGCCCTTGCTTGTTTCTTCTGGTGGGAGGTTGCAAGCATTGTGGGAATATTCTTGGTTTGGTTTTCAGTCTTGGTTTGAGAGTTTTGGGGAATCACACAGACTTGCACAGAACAATAATTGATAATATAAGTAAGTAAATGATGCTATATAAGTAATGATCGTAAATCAGGTAACCTATCAAATATGCTGCCCAACTTGAGATGTCAACTTCCATGAAAGAAATTTATTTTTGTAAGAACACTTATCAAATTTAACAAATGCATTCCTAGTGGGCAAATGATTTTAAATGAAAGACAAGAAAACATATGCAAAAATTTATTTAAGCGAATGAGACTTTGTATCTCTTCGTCTTCTTAAAGTTTCTATAGTATCAGATAGTTCCCTTTTCATTAGGAGTTAGTGAGTTAGAGCGTGCTTGAGGGCCACTCCGCCACTCCTCCACTCCACTCCTCAGCTCGGAACGGGCGCTCCACCATTTGGCGCTCCCTGTGGAAGGAATCAGGGCTCATGCAATATGTCAGGAGTTTTTGAATACAAAATTTTGATGGACTTTATCTTTCATGGTCACAATTGTAAAGATTTAAAAAAGAAAAATGTGTATATATATATATACTTTGCCTGAGATTAGGAAAGAGATAGAGAAACCTTTTTGATAAAAAAACTTTATCATGCTGTTGAGGATAAGAGTTTAACTGCAAAAGAGTAGATTATTAAATGAAGTTGAGTCAGCTCGATGCACTTTTTGCCCCTTCATGAATCAACGAAACAGATGTACATTTCATGTTACTTGTGACATTCCTCGATAACTTTCTCACACAGTTTGGCCCTTTATATCATTACTGCCAATATAGATGCTTGTCATGTGAGATCTATTAGAGTTGCAGCTAACTATGTTAAATTCTGAAGAAACCAAGGACCATAATGCGATGGTTTTGTCTTGGTTTTTGCAGCCATTAGCATGTTTGCACTCCCCTTCCCCTGTAGAAACTGCAAGGCCACTGTTAATCTTAACAAGTGGAATATTTTGTATGATACTCAAAACAATGGTGCATACATCTGTTAAATTCTATAATAATAATAATAATAATAATACTATGAATAATAATAATAATTAACTATACAGAGAATGATTTCCACGTGGACAGATGCAAATACTTAACCACTGATGTGATGAGATGCTAATGTATAGTGATTCTTAGAAGGAGAGTCTACGTATATTTTGGGTTGTGGATGCTAGTTTTGAAAACTGCTTCTGCATTTATCAAGATTGTGATTGATACCTGTTCTACATTTACAGTATAAGTAACTTTTGAAGCTTTATAGGACACGTATGTTCACTTACTTAACGGATGCAATTTTGCCAACATGGTATTGACTATATGTGGATAAACAAAAAGAATTTGTTAACTTTGGTATTTTTCCTCATTCTTCATAAATAGTGGTTTGCTTGATTATACATATATATACATATATATATATATATATATATTTAAATACTCTTTTAAACATTACTTATGGTTCTTATCCTTTTTATATAGTAGCAAGATCAGTCAATTGCAGTCTATATTGACAT